ATTTTTTAGAAAAACTCGATAGCCCATCAACCGAAGCTTCTTTCCAGGGACCACGCCTTTTGTAACAATGCCTAAGTATGGCGCATACATCACGTAAATAAGTTACCTAAAATGTTTGAAAACCAGCTTAAAAAAGACTGTGACATGACATCATGTCACACGGTCCCACGTGGCCGAAAGAGTGTGGTATGACATCATACCACACGGTCGTCAACGTGTTAACACATTGCGTACCGAGCCGTTTTTGCGGTGGCGAGCTCGCATGGCCGCGCGTGCTTGCGCATCGTGCGCCACATGGTGGCGCATGCGGCCACACGGGACAGACATTTTTCGAAATTCTCTTTTAAGGGCTTTTTCACTTTCTTATCCTTAGTATGGGTTAAACCACAATTTCATGGAAACTGCGTCATATTTTTTGCTTATTTGGCTTGTAATGTACGTTTTAAGAATTAACAAATGATTACACAACAACGATTGTGAAGGACCCAAAAATCTGGTTTGTCCAACTTCTCATGCACTATTGTCTCAATAGTGGCGGGACCCAACTTTCAAAGGAAGCCCGCCACTTTCAAACAGTGTCACGTGACAGTGGACGCTGTTTGAAAGTGGCGGGACTTGACAGTGGACACTGTTTGAAAGTGGCGGGCTTCCTTTGAACGTTGGGTCCCGCCACTATTGAGTCGCTGGTACATCGTTCGACTCGCTGGCGCAAAGTTCGATTCGCTGGTGCAACGTTCGATTCGCTGGCGCAACGCTCGGATCCAGCGATTCGCTAGCGAATCGCTCGATTCGCAAACTATGACATCGGCCTTAGACGCTGCCGCTGTCTCACCCCCCCCCCCTTAGTTACAGCAGCAGTAAGCCCAACAGCGCGCGCAAGCTACTTCAAAGTTTGTTGAGTTTTTATTACGACTCCGTGATCCTATAGACGCAGCGACATAATTTGTCCACGGCTACTTCTATACAATTTTCGGCGCTCATCCAGTAAGGGGGCATCAAGTGGCTGCCCTCACCCCCCACCCCCTAGACTGCCTACACTCCCCCTGGCGCACAGGTTTCTCGAAGTACGGGACCCCGTGAGCCAGGGGGAGTGAAGGCAGTCTAGGGGGGTGGGGGTGAGGGCAGCCACTTGACGTTGCATCACAATGCCCCCCCCCCTTACTGGATGAGCGCCTAATTTCATTTGATTTTGAGCATCCTAAGATTCCACGTGACGACAGAAGCGCACAATTGTAAGGTTATACAATGTACAATTAGTTGATGCTACGCGGACTGATAGTGATTCATTTACATCCCATTTAATTTCGCAGCTGCTACAGCACGAAATAGCGTTGAAACACCTCATGTGCCAGGAGCACAAGCGCAATTTTTCAGAAAATTTTCCCATACTAATCAGTGTCGAATCAATAGGAAGGAATCCAGTAAGCTCCAATCTTCAAGATTCTAGTTTGTCTTAGAAATCTGCAAAAATTTAGTTGTGAAGGGAGTTATGAACGTTTGAATATTGGAAAATCGCATAAAGATAGACCAACGGGATGAATTTTCGAGGAAATGTTCGCAAAACGTTTAGAGACTCTTCAAGAGAACGATTCGAATTTCTTAAATTTTGTATCTCGTCCTATGAGAGCACTATCGAAGAAAGTGATAACCTTCTAAAAAACAACCTCGTAACTACTCCAATTTTTGTTTCTTCAGCACATAAAAGAGGGATAATTGGAAGTAAAAAAAAGGTATTTTTCTGAAGGTGAGTCTTACGTGATTGCAAGAAGACTAAGTTCCTGCAAATTTCCAGAAGCTGCCTTTAATCAAAGAGCCAAATTTCATGTTGCCTTGATTCCCGTCTTCTGAGCGAAACAAAACGGTGGCACCAAAGACGCGCTGTCACTCCCATTACCATCACCTCTTTCTATGCCGTGCACAGCAATGATGGTGGGTATAAAGATACGTAAAAAAAGCTAGGTAGAATAGGGGGATGTAGTCATACACCCCTGAAAAAGGGAGGGGTTCGTAATCTCTCGAAATTGATGACGGACGGTCACCTGCCTATAAACGACTCCGTCGCTGCAATCAAAAAGAGCCAAATACCCTCCCCTTCAAAAAGCGAGAAAGTGTCGGGTGCAGACCATGCACCACAAGTGACGACGGCCTTCACAAAATGTTAATGTTTTCTGCCAATGAAATGATTAGCCTGTTGCAGTTGTATTCTATCGATTGTCACTAATTACAACTATCATTTACCAGAAATCAGCTATCACTATGAACAACTTCTAACCAGATTTACTTGGAGGCCGTCGTCAGTTGTGGTGTTTGGTCTGCACCCGACACTTTCTCGCTTTTTGAAAGGGAGGTTATGTAACCTCGCCTACAAATGACCAGAAATTGTGCAATTGCAGAAATTGAGCTTGGCACACGTGGCTAAGTTCTCGATGGAAAGGTGATGTCACGTGTGCAAAGATGTCTTGAATCGATGCCACGTTAATACCACACCGTCAGTTCCGCATTCCCATTTCTGGTTATTGAAATCGCAGATATCCATCTCTCTAACATGAAAACTCGAACTATGGCTTACTACCACCACAGGGTGAAAATCGTGTCGAGTACGTGGTCGCAGAAGTACGACCCCCCCCCCCCCGAAATCGAGATCCTGGCACGACCCCCCAAAACAGAGCAAATTAATTCAATTAATTAATCAAAATAAATCCTGCAAAATAAATCAAAAAAAAATTCTGCAAAATAATGTTATGGACGCTTCATCTTGTCATCTATGCACTGTCTTTCATCGCTGCACACTTTTGTGTATTTACTGAAATATCGACTCGAGGAAAGAGGCATTAACTTTGTGTGACCTCAAAGTCAGGTTCGTTCAGAAATGCACAGAAATCCTGAAGGCACGGGGTTGCGATTTAATCTTAATTCTGCTTGAGTATATCGAAACAGCCGAGTGTATCATCAACGGCCGATTCAACGGCAGCTGCGGCGCGATTGTCACTGGGTCAGATTTGCTGAAATCCCGAAAAAAAAAAACGTCGAAATCTACACCCTCGATGAAAAGGTTGCATTCCTCCATTTCATAACCTTTGAAGCAGTTTGAGGTAGGGTTAGATAGAGCTGGATTTCGCGTTTCCAAGAAGTATTGAAATTGCTCTGAAAGTCTTCCATGCAGAAAGATAGGGTCTCTCAAATTTCGTCGAGTAAACGTCGAGGACGCTGAAATTTTCACGCGAGTTTTTGCCACTTCAAGAGCAATATCTCTCTTAAAACGTGAGATCCTGAAAAAGTGAAGATAGTTTTGGAAAAGGAAGGTTTGCGCTTTCTGATGGTCTTCTTAGCTTTCTTCTACATTTCCTAGTTGAGAAGATATCTGCGTCGAGTATGTATCGAGGACGGATCCGGCCACCTGAAAATCCGCTCCCTTCTTCACCATTGCAAGTGTAATTGTTGGCAACGCTTGAAATGGGTCTAGAAAACATCCTCCCAACATAAGCAATAGGAAAAGGGGCAATCGTCATCATCGAATTTTGTCTGAGTATAGGCCATGCATCCGACCTCACTCGAAGTTGCAGAATCGATTCGAAGGTGTCATATGATCATGACCAGTTGACAGAAGCTGCATTGTAGTAAACGCATTTCGTAACTCCTACAACCTGAAGAACAACTTCATTTGCCCAGGGCTTTTCCTTCACGGTTGTCGTTTTTGCGACAGGGTCCCTAACAACAGTGTCATTCTCAGCGAGGTATTAAGGGAGAAGGAGCGAGCGATAGGCAGGAGGTGCCTTTGCAGCGCGTGCGCACATGTGGCACTCTTCTTTGCGGGGATGCACTTTCATTCTTTGTACTGCCTTCAAATACGCCCTTCTCATGAAGGTGGAGGAATGGAGCGACTGAATCTGCAAAGAAAATATCATATCATTAATATCATGTTTTTTTTCAGATATTTTCACTTTCTGCTGCGCTATACCCTATTACCTATCTGCACC